TAATAAAACAAGACTGACCTAACTTTTATTTACATACATGTACCATAATGAAATGATCATACTAGCAAATTAGACTCTAACCTGCATAAGAGGGCATTTCAGTAAAATATAAAGTTCTTGTGCATCAGAGGAAGGAGCAGCCAGTCCTCGCACACTGGCCATAATCTGTGGGAGAGTAGAAGACAGACGATGAAAAGAAAATAGAGGCTGATAGGATTACTTTACCCGGAAATTAAAATATTTTCATCCTTTACTCACTCTTATGTATGACTTTAGAAGCATTATAATATACTATAGTGCTCAAATAATAATTTACTCAACCTCATGTATGGCTTTAGAAGACTTGGAATATACTTACAATGAATTATACACTGTAAAACCAAACGAGTTAAGGTAACTCAAACCATTTGCATTAAATGAAATAAGTTCACTGTACTTGTAACTATTGTTTTTTTTTTTTTAATGCTTTAAATGGTTTTGTGAGTCCACAAAAAGAGGGCTCTCTTAATATTATATTAAACTATAAATACATTAAAATACTTTGTGGGGCTGAAACTTAACTAAACTGCACAAAACAATCCAAATCAGTAACAGTTATCCAATAGGTGGCTAGCAGCAATAGCACAAGCACACATCCATGTGCTAATGTAATTATAGAGACTATCACTGTAATGTAGTGAGTAGTCATTGCTTTTTAAATAAAGCAACATACTGTAGTTAAACCTGTTACCTTGTCCATTTGGAAGAACTGGATTTTGGCTATTGAATCTACTGCTGTTACTTTTGTTGTTATTATTACTACTATTACTACAAATCCTGTGTTGGGTCGGGTGAAGGAAGGGCGGAGGATTTGGGGGTAGTAGTTGTCAAATATCTTTTCTTTCCTTTATTGCAATATGTTTTTGTATACTTTACCAAAATAATAAAAACACTGAATTACAAAAATAATAAAATAAATAAATATAAAAAAATAAAAATAAAGCAACATACTATATAGTCATAATGTGCAAAAATAACACTTAACTTTAATATTTAGTCTCCTTTAACAGTCTGAAGCGAGGCATGCTGGGACAATGAAAACTGCTGAAACTCAATCAGTTCCAGTTCTGCCTAATGTAATCAGTGAGTTCATGTAACTTTATTCTATTAAATAGAATGAATTTTCAGTAGTATCTGAGTAACATGAACATGTTTCATTGATTAAATTTGACTGTTATATGTCATTATATTATTTATGACATGAGAGTTTCATATGATTGATGACTGAAGGAAGGATAATAGATTTTCACATCTCTGTGAAAAAGCCCTTCAAAGCAAAGTCAGTAATAAAATGCATTGACTGACCTCCTGAGATAGTCTTGAGGAACAAGACAGGTACGGGCTTGGGGCATCTCGACTGTGCTGCACCAGACACTCATATACCTATAGGAAATAAGAAAATCCTTTATGCGCAAGACAGCTGCAAACTTTTTTCCACACTCAGTGTCCAATGACCTGCCCTGGGATAATGTCAAAACTGGATAGTCATGGGTGTAAGTATTGAATGAGCATGTCTTACCCTGAGAAGAGAGCAAAGCCAAGGAGCACTGAGGAGACCGTACAGAAGATCAGCACCATTAGTATCTCTGTCTATGGAGAGTCTCACTTCCTCAACCACTTCTGCCAAGATCTGAGCCAAACATATATCTGTGAAAAAGAACAAGACTCAAATTACTGTAGTATTTGATTTGCTGCTATACCATTGTGCATGTCAAGGGCACAACATCCCTGTTCTATGTATTTGCAAAGACGCACCATTGTCATCTTGTCCAGGTTGTGTCACTGGCTCCTCCTTCATTGATTGCCGCATGATAAACTTCTTTATTCAAATCACTGCAGTCCTATAAAACAAATCAATGTCGAGAGTACAAGGGCACAATCTACATTTCTGCTGCAGAATTATAAATAATAAATTATGAGTGCAAAAACGGCAGGACCACTGCACGTTTAGTTGGCTACAATGTTTTAAAGAACAAGAATGTTTGCTTAAAAAAAAAACCCTTCTAGATTATAATAGCTTTAAAGGGTTAGTTCACCCAAAATTGAAAATTCTGTCATTATTTACTCACCCTCGTGTTG